ATCGGCCGCTTTTTACGCGAGTTATTCGCGAAAAACCATGGGGGGGTCCATCCGACCCCCCCCCCCCTACACATGCGAGGGTTAAGCCCAGAAAAGCGATTATGCGACATGTGTTTACATGTGTGCAGCGTCAAAGATGTACTTAATAGTGATGTCAATTACAGAAAATCGGAATACCGATACCAAACCAAATACCAATCAAAACCGTGGGGAAATACTGAAACCGAACCAACTTTGAAAGATGAGGGAAATACCAACTTTTTACCAACTTCTTAGCCTCTTTTACATTAGTAAGGGTTCATAATACCAACAAAATACCAAACACATTAAGAATGAAATACCAAATACCAAGTTGGTATCGGTTTGGTATCGGTATACCAAAAAGTTGGTATCCGATTGACGTCTCTAGTACTTAATATTATATTTGAATCACTAAAAGTGAAAATCGATGCATAAAAATGTAAAGCAAATAACTTTTTCGTTACTTCTAATATCAGCCTGAAACTATCTGAGAGTATGGTATAGAGCTTGTGTCAAGTTAATGAATGCATGAAACAGTACGTGTAAGTATTTGTAAGCTATTATTGCAATTGTTATTAAAGTATTTCTTTTTTTTTGTAAAACTTTAAAACTTCGAAAATCCTAGAGAGCTGTTCATGAGCCCAACATATGTATTCTGCGTCATCCAAGCAGCGAAAACGGTGCTAGCTTAAAACCAGTAGCAGTGGAACACCTTCAAGACCTTCAAGGGGGGCACTGCCGACTTTTGATCCCATGCTTTCCATGCAACGCCCATAGGACTAATGTTAAAATGGCAAAATCACGGGGGAGGGCACGGTGCCCCGGTGCCCCCCCCCCCCATTCCGCTGCCTATGTTTAAAACCTATCAATCATCATATCACATACATTTCAATATCCAGACGCACGTATGAATTAGTACAAAAGCACTTACTATGATCGTGATCGCGATCGTGAGAGTGGCTGCAGTTGAGCCATATTTTGCATCAAAACCGACCTAACACGACGTGCTCTGACAGCATTTCCTGCAAGCCTAATAGAATTATGGTACCCACAATTTTTTTCTTTCAGACACAATGTGTCATATCAATGAAGCATGCAGCTAATAAAAGTTCAGTAAGATAATTTTATGGTCACTTTAGGGCCATGGGTTTGAAAATAATGTAAAAAGAACCAGAGTAGAGCTCTGTATTAGATCTCCACCCTGCCACATGCAGGGTCACCTAGAATATCTCTTCCTGACCATGCCCTGACGTCCTGCCATTCCTGCCTGCAGTCACACTGGGTCCTGACCCCTCCCTCGTTCTGGATCCGGCACCCCCGCCAACTCAGCGTCACCCTATACCCCCTACCGACCGCCTGCGCCGGCCACTGGGCGACTGGAGGGGGGGGGGGGGTGTCACCGCCCCGAGCGGAGGTGTCATCGCTCACCCCCTGTCCTCCCCTCCAGCCGTGGACATTGATCTGCGAGGTGTCACCACGTGGTGTCACCGGTGAGGAGTGTCATCATGACACAACTACATAGGATGGTGGCCTGACAGAGAAGGGCCAGGTATCGATAATTGATTCGGTGATACCGATTACAGACTGAGTATCACCTTAGTATCACTACCAGCCTACTCGGGCTGGTTTCCTTCACAGGCTAGGAGAGCGTTTGATGACCTGGGAAGGTCCCTATGGCCCGGAACACAGTGATCGGGTCATGACCTGACCTGGATATCAGGGAATTTAGCTGACTGGGCTGTCTGTTACCACGTGGTCATGCCACCCGACTAAGCATGGACAAATGGGACCGGGTGAAAGGCCGGCACAGCATCGGCGACCGACAACTATACCTATTACCTATATTTGATGATAAATAGTTTACTTTATTTGCTATTGTATGTCGCTGCCTGATATTTTCCGATAGCCTTGGCACACGATAAACATATCAAAATAACTACTACTCCGTTGTGAAAAATGCCCCCTTTTGTTTTCATGGTTGAGGCAAACTAATTTCAATAACGAAGTAGAAATAACAGGCCCGAGAAATTGTCAGGAAGATATCATCTATGCAAAACAAAAAAAAAAAGCTAAGGATGATTGCAGGGTCAGTTGTAAGCTAATCGGCTGTTCTTTGATTTTCCGTTTCCCTTGACGCAACTAAATTTGTAAAAAAAAAAAACGATCCGAGTGATGCTGTCAAGAATAATAATATAAGAATAGCAAGTAACCTCATAATATAAATCAGAAATAGGAACCAAAAAGTTATATTTAAAATGATCGAATATTTCGCCCTGGAGCTTCACCAGCGATAATTACAGAAAAACGGAAAATTACAGAAAAAGGTTTTTCTGTAATTATCGCTGATGAAGCTCCAAGAGCGAAATATTCGATCATTTTAAATATAACTTTTTGGTTCTTATTTCTGATTTATATTATGAGGTTACTGGTTATTCTTATATTATTATTATTCATAATGAGCCTCAGGCAGAGTTTCAGCTTTTTATGATGCTGTCAAGCACACAACAACAAAAAGATATCCATATGTTCACTAGCACGAAACGAAAGCGAGCGATGACGATAGGAATTGTTGCTAGTTTGTCAAGCTCATCTCGAAAATCATATATTTGCTGTGTCAACGAATGTTTATTGGACACTAAGCATCTGGAAGTCAGTATCTTATTTCAAGGGCTATTGCGCTATTGTTTGCATGACTTCGTTCGTCCTGCCATATCCCCATAGGCCATAGGCAGTTATTGAACTGTGATGCATATTCCTAACAAAATGCGGTGCATTCATACCTGCCGAGATTGAAGAAAAGCTGGCCAACACTGCTGAATGCGCAATGATAACACTCGCTCTTAGAACCTTCATGGCAACAACGAATACTGACGTCTTGACCACAGCTAATATCTGCAAATCCCGTCTTATCTCAAGTATTTTCCTAAACGAGTAAGCTGAGAACGACCTTGCAAATGGGGAAAAGTATGTGAAGCTGTGATGTATCTAATTCTATGCAATGCTTTGAAGGACAATCTTGCATTGTAATAAATGTGACATCATTCTTGTCCCACTTGCACTGGGCTGGTAACAGTTACCAGCTTACCAAGTTCTGAACTCGGGCAAGTAGTCTACATTCCATCCTTTACTGTGATAATGTTTAATGACATCTTGCTCGACTAAGATAACAGCTGATTGAATTTTACATTGCCCATCTACATAAATGGTCCTTGGCCAGTTCTCTTCATAAAAAAGATGTTCGTTGACTCAAAGCATGCACAGGCAGATCCAGAAGCGCGGTTTTAGACGCTGCGGGAGAGGGGCAACCCACCCAAAAAGTTCCTCCAAACTCCCCACCCAAACCCCCACCCCCACCCCCAAAAAAAGACAACGGATTGCGATTGGTAATACACTGTTGTGCAGTTTTAATCCAACGTTTCTTATAAACTTTATCAGCTAGTTTTTTTCTTTTCTAGAAAAAAATGACAAAATTTCATTAATTTTGGGCAGTGCTGTTGGTGGGATTCCTCCAAATGCCACTCCCTGAATCCGCAAATGTATGCATTGATAAACGTTGAAAACATCAACTTAGTGCAATGGCTCAGTCCGACCAGCATCACTTTCGACGTTGTCCTTTAGCTGAATTTGCCCGATAAAACATTTGAGGGAGACATTTCGACCGCTGAGTCGGAGCGACTGATGGTGAAAATCCGGCTCAAGACGGCATCGGACGTCGTTAGAGACCCCTACTTATTAGCTAGTTTACCTCAGCAACCAGTTTGAGAGTTTATCATAAGCTTGTTGGTGATGATAATAATTTAAAAATGAATGTAAGCGTGGTGAAAAAAAAGTTCATTTTAAGATGGGAAAAACCACATTCCGATACTCAAGAAACTACCACTGAATTGCTAATTCGGTATACATTACTGTGACCTAAAATGCACCATTCCAAGCAATTGTATCACATTACCAAGTGCTTGAGTCGGAAGCGAGCCTCGGGGAACCAAGTTCATGTTCTAGCTCAATGGGCGGTAATATGATTTGATTCATGTTATCAGGCTCGTCAGCGCGCATTGAAACACTGCGACACCTATTTACTTAAGCAGCTCCGACCATCAATCAAGCCCAATCACCTCGTTGAAAGAGACGACTTTTATAACCGTACCATTCCCCCGTCTGCCAGTCCATCGGCCATATCAAAATGCCATTGCTGACTAGCACTTGGACGCAGTTTATGACAGCGGGTCATCAGTTGCACAGTGCTACTGCAGAGCCGGGGGCTGGTCGCACCTGGAAACCAGCGTCCAGGCCGGCCAGCCGTGCCATTGTCGGACGTCAACACGATTTGGAGCTCGGTGATGATTGCAATACAGACGGGCTTGTAGCAGTGCATGGCATGTTACTATGCAATGCATGCGACGCCCGAGGCCCATTGGGACTGTGATTGAAGGAGCAGGATGACGTAGCTAGGGTTTGAACATGTTCCATTTGTTGTTTATCCAACGCTTGCAGTTGCACCATGCATACCATTAATCGTCAACAGCAATATGTTTGACCTAAAAAATTGCGGAACATACGCCCACAAAGCTAATGTTGCGGCACCTAAATTAAGTACTACCTAGTACTAGAATGTGTTCTTAATTAATGAGAACTAGAATAAGCGACAACAGTATGACAAAGAAATCTGCTCTGGTTTTGTGAAAGCCCTATTTCGCTGAATCACTGGCTCGTGTCTGTCGATTCAGATCGCTTGTCAAAAAACGCTCGAATAGCCCATATTGCAGGAGAGCATAAATTGTTGATATTTCTGGTTCATAGTGAATTCAAAAGGGTAGCCTTAAACATGTTGCGCGACAGTTTCGAGAAAATGTAGGGTACAGGTAAAATTGCAATGGAGCATTACACCAGATCACCCACATCTTTTACCCGCGCTACCCACCCCGATCAACTCCCCCCCCCCCCCCTCTGAGACGGCCATGTCCTCGGCTTGGGGGACTCACCTGACTCGATCGCCGTTCCCACGCTCCGCGCACCACCAGCACCGCCTCGCGGCTCACTGGAGGTACCGTTTCGACCCGCCCGAGACCCAGCACCGCCGCCCCCCGCCCCACAGCCAATCAGCGGCCAGCACCGCCGGCCGCCGCTCTCCGGCGACCAATCGGCGCGCGGGCGGCGGCACGCGCGCTGGAGATAAACATATCATCGGCAGGAGATAGCGAGATGGAGTCTCTGGCCGTCGAGACTGAGCAGATACGCGGTGTTGCCGCGAATCGCACGGGCCGCGTAAGGTGGCGATTAATTTCGATTTCCACCGAGATTGTCCTATCGGTCTGTGGGTAAATTGTCTCTTCATGGGAAGAAAGACATGATTCTGACGATTTTGCGGTGATACGATCAATGGGTGTCATTAGCACTAAAACTGATACACTCTTTCAGCCGACCGAGTTTGTATTTGTACAGGGTGTTCGCAAAAATATGTCATGATTTCGTTACGCCATTATTGCCAGCTCAAATAAGCAAGGATCAAATGTCTTGCTGAAATGTGTTGCCCGGATCTTCAAGTTTTGTTATACACATGTATCAGTGCCTCATGTCAAACCGGGCGCACCCCACACGCTGTTTTCAATATGAACCCCTTTTCGGCGGATGCACGTATCACCTAGAGATTACACATAAGGGTTCATTCGCACGCACGTGTTATAAGTGAACACGGACGGCCTTTGCAATCACTATCATCAGCCGAGAAAGATTCTTAGCTGTCTTCCTGTAGTCCTTGGACTTCAGATATCCCACAGGTAACGGCCGATGGGGCTGACACCAAGTGAATGGGTCGACCAGGGGGTAAGGGTCCTCCTGCTCAAGAAACGGGCCCTAGCATTTCGTTTAGGCACCGGAGTGCAATTTTCGAAGTGTGGACTTGAACCCATCCTACCCGTGCGCATGTCTGCAGCGTTTTGACCATTGTCTTGCCCCGAGTTGCCCCACATTTCTCGCTTAAACTTCTAGAGCACTCCCACGCAGCAGTTTTCAGCGGCAATGTTGGTGTTTCAATTTGAAGTCTTAAGAAGAAGGCCTCGCGGCACCATGAGCGTCTATCGCAAATCAAGCAATGACCTTCGGACTGTGGAGCTGGTGTTCTTACCTAGCCTTTGAGGGTGGCATATCTACCCAAACCGTTTGTTCTGGCCGTCGGCGCCTCCATGAAGGTGGATGTGTGCTTCACTGGTTGACCGGGCGTGGCCGGTGAGCGGTGCTCAGAATTGATTTGGGTTTTATCCTCGAAGCAAAGTAAATTCTTAGCCCTTTTCTACCCTAAATAGCACCTATTGATTCCTGACCTTGTAGGGTATAATCCCCATGTCATTATCAATAATATAATGAGACATGTTGGACCGCACCCCGCATCTTGCGCGAGCTCGCAGATGGTCAGGGAAGGCATCTCGTTGACCAAATGGGTGATCTCTTTGTAGTTTAAATGACTATAAATAATTCTTTTTCTCGGACTTTCAAGGGTTCATTCGATTTCTAACGATCACTTTGGTAGTAAGTTGCATGTGCAGTAAAAAAATCGCCTTACAAGGGGTGCAGCGGAGGCATCAAAGCATGCACCGAACTGTTGTAGCACGGAAACTACGGGCATCGAATCCAAGTGCTTTTTGGCGATATTTGTTTTTCGCTCTGTGCAAGGCAAGATTTTTAATATTATAAATTAAAATGCATATGAAAGAAAACTTGAAAATGTCCTCTGTCAAATGGGCATAAATACGTGCACGTGCGTTCAAGCAATTTTTCCTACAAAGCGATTAGAATCATGACATATTTTCGCGAACACCCATTTTGTATTTATTGAAACCGTCAACAGGCACAAAACCCAATAAAAGACGGAGTTAAAAAGTAAAAGCACAAATAACACTAATAAAAATGCCACATTTATGTACAAGGCTCACCGAGAGCTAAGAAACGCCAATACACACTTCCTAAAAGATGATCGATTTGTAAACAGATCAGAGCTCGGCATTCTCTGGTATAAGGAGTTGGCTAGGCGCGGCAACCGACAGAACATTCCATTTCTGATCGTTTCAACTCGAGCCACGGGGACGTGCAAAATTGGTCGTGATCGAGTGAGTCTAGCTGGGACTGCAAAAACAAATATGCTTACAATGTCAGTCGCATCGAATCTGCCGTTAAATACACCATGTAAGAAGGTAAGATCGTGCTGTAACAGTCAACTTGTGATTCGTTGAACCTTAAAGTGATTGAGCAGGTGTGCATAGTCCAATGAATCAGATGGTTTGCTAGAGTTTACGGCCAACCACATTAAAAACTTGTGCTGGACTCTGTCCAGTCGCACTATGTGCGATTTGGCGGCCCCAGACCAGATGACGCAGCCAAACTCTAGTATTGAACGCACATGCGCGTTAAAGGCCGTAATGAGGGGGCCAGGCTTGAGCCTATACGACCCGCCGAAACACGAGATGTCTGCACTGATCGCAGGTAAATTCCTAGGGCGCGATTCGCCCTCCCAACGATGCTGTCAATGTGGGATGAAAAGGTTAATTTTGAGTCCAGTATGACACCCAGATCACGAATCTCCGATACACGATTTAAAGTAACGCTATGGATGAAGTATGGCGTCGTAATTGGCTTTGTACGCAGAGAGAAAGTTACTGCTTTGCATTTTTCGGGATTTAGCTTTAGCTTCCAGATGTCAGACCACGTACAAAGATTTTCTAGATCGGTTTGAAGGGCGGCAGCATCTTCGGGAGAGCGAATACGCTCACAAAGTTTCAAGTCGTCCGCATACATAATACATGTTGAAGACATATGCGACGGGATATCATTGCAGAATAAAACGAACAAAATTGGCCCACATATAGTCTTGATCACTGATGCCGTTGCTTTTGTTACACAAGTTCATTACCTACGCAACTGCTGATTCAATTGGAAAGAGTACTCACTGTTCAGTGTTCAACCAAGATCCAGGGATTTAGCTGTTTTAACGTTCGTAATTTCTGTCGAGTTTGGTGGTGGTGGTGGGGGGGGGGGGGGGGGGGAGGAACAGACCACAATAATCACTTAATTCGGCTAAAATCGGTCAGCAGCACTATAACCAGCCAATCACATGTAGGCTGCCGATAGCTTTAGCATTCCAGTACTAAACTTCATCCACATTACCAAGCATTCCGAGACCGGGACGACAAATAGTCGGTTCCTTAGCAAAAACTTCGATTTGATGCTGGCTTAGGGCTAAACTGTTCATCCATTTAAAAGTAATCCAGTCTTTCCCTATTTGTTTCTTAAAAAACGCGCACTTACCAAAAACACCTGACCAAAGTTAAAACCTCGTCTGCGAAATAACGTATGGAAAGTGTTTGTTGAAAAAGCTGTCAATTCGCCCAATTCAACCCAGTGTTTTGGCAATGTATGGAAAACAGATGACGTTACTGCATGACAAGGCATCACCCAAGTGATGAATCACAATTATGTCTGCCCATTAACCCTATTCCTGGCGGGGGGGTGGGCCTCAGGAGCCCCCCTGAGGTTTTTTGGTTATTTCTCCCAAACGCGTTGAGCTAGGAAGCTCAAATTTTCTGACTTTTCCTAAAAGGCTTCTACGCAACATGTCTGAAAATTTTGAGTTGATCTGACCTCAGGTCAGGTCACCAGAGGCGGTTTGGTGACCCTACCTCAGAAAAGTTTGCAATCACGCCAGAGCTAGAGTTTTTGACCGATCAATTTCTTCTCTTCAGGCTTTAGTTAGGGTACCAGTATGTGCAATTTGTATATCTCGGAATTTTGATATCGGTGACCTAAGGTCAGGTCAGTTTCGCGACCTCCCCATTATAAGTCAATGGGGGAAAAATCAACTCCCTGTTTTTACCACTAAAACGGGTCGGAATGGCCCCATATACCATACATGACTTCATATACGATCAAACTTCACTACCTTGAGGTCTGTTTTGCTGTTGGGCAGCTGTGAGGTCATGTGACGTCATCAAAGGTCACCAAAGGTTTTTGGCCAATAACTCCGTACAGGAACGAGATACAGACGCGTGGATGGTCTCATTGTGTTCAGCTCGTCAAGGCGCATCGAATGATATACATGATGACCTCGAGGTCACGTGACCTGAGGTCAACCTTTGACCTTGACCTTTCGAGGTCAAAATATATATCATTCGATGCGGATTGACGAGAGGATCACGATGATGCCCTTAGTTTGTTCCTATCTTGACTAATTCGAAAGTTATTCGAGAAAAACTCTCTCCATATCTAGCGCCGCCATTTTGACTTTTTCGACCCCTGTGACGTCATCTTTGACCTGACCTGAAAATGACCTTAGTAAAAATTGTAGATCTTGGCCGTGCGTATCCGATGCCGTTTACCGCTTGTCGCTATCTTGCTTCGTTCTCGAGATCTCAGGGGGGGGGGCCGAATCGGCCCCCCCGCCAGTTTCTTGTCCCGGCAGAGCCCGCCAGGAATATGGTTAAATGTCATGCATCGATGCATTTATCTCCCAAACCGCTTTGTGGCTCCACTACAAGCGCTCCATTCACCCCTTCCCATGGGCGTCGCCACAGGGGGGGGGGGATGGGGGGGACACCGTCCCCCTGGAGTGAGGGTGGGGGGGATTATCCCCTCCTCAAATTGAATGTCAATCGAAGTTTTCGAGCTGCTTTTTCTCAGTTACCTGTCATTCTGCGGAAAAAAAGAAGTAATCCTTTACCGAACAAGTTTTTTTTTTTACCGGGACAGAAGACCTAAGTCTCTTCAGGATGCGGTCAACATCATGCAGGAGGTGCCTGAGCCCGCAAGAGCAATGTTCCCAGAAGTGAACAAGCTCTTGCAGCTCCTCCTGACACTGCCTGCAAGCTCTGCAACGGCAGAGAGGAGTTTCAGTGCGCTGCGCCGCCTGAAGACTTGGCTTCGTTCGACGATGCGCCAGGACCGACTCACCTCGGTGGCTGTCGGCCACGTACACCGGCACCGGGTGGATGCTGTGGATGCTGACAAACTCGTGGCTCAGTTCGTCAGCCTTAACGCCGGCCGAGAGCGAGTAT